CGGTGGCAGGGCATTTATTAACTCCTCCTTTGTTTTTCCTTTTGTTTGTTTCTGCGTGGTGATGCATTTTGTCCAGCTTTTCCGAGTCCTCCAACACAGAGGGTCTCCAGACAGAGGGGGTCTCGCTCAAACACCCAGTCGGCTCAGCTGATCATGGGAGGAGCGCGGGGGTCGGGGGGGGGGATCCCGGTCCTGGGAGATGTGCGTCGGATGGGTGTGATCGCTGAGCGTAGCTGTAATAAGTCTTGGCCAGTGACTGAACAAATAAATAGTGCTGCCTTATCTGATGGGGTGGAAGAGCCACAAAGCCGCAGGTCGCTGCTCTGACTCACTCAGGTTCAGCTTGGCCCTCACCTGGGCCTCCCGTAAAATGCCCCCTGCTGTCCGGAAAAAGTCAAACGCATGAACGGCGAACCATGCCTAAGGGCATAAACAGGGTTGGGGCCACAGGGCCACTGGTCCTGCCTGAAAGCTGATTGGCTCCTGGAGTGCCCCCACCCCCTGTCAGTCATCGATTCAAAACATATCATTGGCTAATAATAAATTTGGTCTCTCTCTATGAATTATGGCCCCTCTTATGCCCTCCACCTTAAAAAAAATCCTAGAATCGCCTCTGGATTGTAGGGGAGGCGGACAGGGGTGGGGTTACATCAAGGTAGACCCCCACCCCACGAAGCTGACGGACAAGCGGGTGTCATGTTTCCTGTGGCTGGACCTAAGCCGTGAACCCAAATCGAGGAAAAACACCAAAATACAAGATTTATACTCGGGGATTCTAGTCAGTCTGACAGGTTTCCTTTTTTTAGCTTCAGGCTTGGGGGAGGAAATTTGGCTGAGATGCAAATATGAGAAAAGGTGAGAGATTCGGCTGCCAGTGTTTGACTACCTGCTAATTAAAGGCCTGCTTTTATTAAAGCAACACAAATATATTTGTGACGATTAATATGGTGACTGTATTATGACATTAAAAGACAGAGGGAAATGGAATCCTACCAGCCTCTGCAGACGACGATGTACATGTATGATATTGTTTTATTTTTGTGCAAGTAAACCTGTGGTCTCCTGGGGTTTACACCCTAAAGCCTGTCCTTAAATAAGCCTGAAGTATTTCATGCTGTGGAGCAGAATGAAAAAGCACAAGGAAAGCTATGCTACCGGGGGGGTAGCTATAGGGATTTATGCCCCCCCCCCCCAACAGGCCGGCTACATTCCCTCAGCACCTTAAATACAGTTTATCTGTTTGTCAGGGTGTTTATTTTCAATGTCACGGCGTGAGAGGGAACACAGAGGCCACGCCCCTTGGGATTTCCACAGAGGCCACGCCCCTTGGGATTTCCACAAAGGCCACGCCCCTTGGGATTTCCTCTTCTGGAAAAAGTCAGCTGGTGACGTTTCGCTCACTCGGGTCCGAAATGGCTGCCAGGCATCTGAATCTCCTGCTGTAGTTTCCCTGGCCATGGTACCTGTGCAGGTACATCAGAGCCGAATAAGTACCCACGTCCAGCGGGGCGCTTCATCTACCCCGCGGCTGTGGTGCCTGAACCCTTTCACCGTTCCCTTCCACCTCTCCCTCCGTCTCATTCTCTCCCTTTTCCTCTTTGCTGACTTAAAAAAAAAAACCTGAAAATGTTAATTTTGGAAGCCGGTTTACGGACACAAAGCAGCTCAGGGAACATTCGCTCGGAAAGTCCGGCTGGCTTCCCTTAAATGGGGCTTCTGACATTCGTGTGGACAGATAAATAGGAGAGCTGTGTGTGTGAGGTCACAGCCCTGCCTCCTGCCTTGTATTATTCCTTGTCTTTAACAATATGGCAGCCGGGGCTACATTTAGCTGCCAGGTTCACTGTGTAGCTCTTTCTCTCTCTCTCTCTCTCTCTCTCTCTCCACTCCAGCTCTGAATCCCTGCTGGCTGGACGCCACAGGTGTCTAGGTAGGAGGCCCTCCTGCCCTCGTCTCTTTCTCCCTTTCCTTTTTTCTCTCTCTCTCTCTCTCTACCTCATGGTCCTACACTTTAAATTCTTCCAACAGGTGTGTTCAGCCCAGTTCACTACTGTCCCGCACAGAATGCATCAGAATCACTCTCTCACTCGCCCCCTCTCTCTCTCTCTCTCACACACACACACACACTCTGTCTCTCTCCTTCTCCCTTCTCCCAGTTTTTCTTCCTCAGACTCCAGTCCGAGAAAAGATGGGGCTTTGTCCTGCTTTACTCGCTGTTTTGTTGCATAATGCCTTATAAGGGTATTCTCTCAGGGAAAGAGTGAGACGGACAGAGAGAGAAAGAGAGAGAGATGGAGGGAATGGGAAGAAGGTGAGAGCGGAGCCTCAGGTCACCACGGATAAGATGGGAGTCGGCGCATGAGGAAGTCAGTGCAATTAGCAGCCTCCCAAAGTGGGAGGATATGGGGGGGTGGGNAGTATACCAAACCATATTATACCAAAACAGTATTATGTGGTGTGCTCCGCTACAGTGCCTATCACCCTTAAGTATACCAAACCATATTATACCAAGACAGTATTATGTGGTGTGCTCCGCTACAGTGCATATCGCACCGAAGTATACCAAACCAAACTATACCAAAACAGTATTATGTGGTGTGCCCTGCTACAGTGCCTATCACCCTTAAGTATACCAAACCATAGTATACCAAAACAGTATTGTGTGGTGTGCCCTGCTACAGTGCCTATCACCCTTAAGTATACCAAACCATAGTATACCAAAGCAGTATTGTGTGCTCTGCTAACTGAATTTAATAAACTTAAAGATACGTTTATATAGATTAAGTTTATATAGTTTATATAGATATAAGTTTATATAGATTACTAACTTTTGAGTGTCACCAAACACATCTCATTAATATTTTAGCCATACTACTAATCTGCTTAACAAATTATGGGTATAAATAAACATCCGCATAGTACCAAAAAGCTGGCATCCAGCAAACGTTTAGCTTGTCATCTGAAGCGCTGGTGATTATGCACAATATAATACTGATATGATTTGGAGCATCCCGACCCAAACCTTAATCATAAGTAACCAAACTACATACGAGACTTTGGCATTTTTAGTTTTTTGATTGCAGTCACAGATCTTTCTGAGATCTGAACCTGAGAAATGGTCCCCACAACGTCAAAATAACAGGTTTTTAATCACATTATGGAGGACATTTGGTCCCCACAATGTAATATAAACCTAAAGCAGACACACACACACACACACAATGCAGCAGCAAAACGCCAAGTCCCTGGTGTCCCCACGTGAACCCGAATGGCGGTGGGAGGGGGCCGGCACAGGGATAATGGAAAACGTCTCTCTGGAATGTGACTGAAAGCCCTCACTGGAGATGGGGGGGGTTGGACAAACAGGTTGCTTCTTGTATTACTGAGGAGATGGCATATGACGGGGTAATGTTGCCCGGGGTGGGGGGACGGATAATGCATCCAACATGGGCTGGAAACGTGGAATCCTCTCCATGAGTTTGTGTTGGACTCACCAGGCTTGCGTGAGATCCGGAAAACCTTTCCATTTCCGGCCACCCTCCCGTGACTCCGATGGAGCCTACTTTCAGTACACGGCTGTTTGTTCTGGAGTGTGTGTGGGGGGGGGGGGTCCGCGTAGGTGTTTGTGGGATTTTTTGTGCTGATTAAGAGCCCCCAGATCTCTACATGTTACAAACAATGACAGCAAACTACCGAAAACATATCTGCAGAATCATGCCGTATCATTACATTGTTTGCTTGCTTTCATCCAGTGTGACCTGCACAGCAGAGGAATTTAACAGATTCCTTTTTTTTGAATCGCTGAAAGGTACAACAGCCTCATGGTCAACAAGGCCAGGTGTTTAGCCTCTAAGCTTCCTGTTGCCGTGTTATAAATCTTCCTTTTACTGTCTAACTGAAGGAGGTTCAGCAAAGTGTGTGGTTCATATGCACTCCCCCTAAAATGGGGGGGGGGGGTCACTGAAACTCAGCAGGGAGTCAGCGTTCCTGTGACTCTGCGGGCGGCTTGGGTTCCAAGAAGGAGACGCTGGCACTGCCACACACACCCCCGACCCCCCCCCGTCACCAGTGGCTCAGACCACAGTGTAACATTTCACCACAATCATGTCTGTTCTGGGTGGACGGTACCACTGATCGGGAATAGGGGGAGTTGGGAGCGACAGGGGCTATGGGGAGGAGGGGAGTGAGTCTGTATGAGAGGAATGATTTACAGCAGCTGTGGCTTTTTTTCCACAAATAATTGTTAGCACATGGGGAGATGGGGCTTGCGAGAGACTCTCCTTGTGAGATACTGGGTCCATCTGTTAATGGGCTCTCTCTGTGATTCACTGTGTCGGCACTGACTGACTGTGCAAGCGCTGACTCTATGTAGAGTCATAGCACAGGTAACGTGACTGTGATCCCCTCGGAGAGGTGGAGGTACTGACTCCTCAGTGACTCACTGTGCCAGTAAGGTTGGGGGCGTTGAGTTGTGCTGGAAAGGGGGGCCTGGGCGTGAGGAACAGGAGCATGCGGGGTCGGAGTGTGGGGTAGGGGAGCGCGGGGTCGGCGTGTGGGGTAGGGGAGCGCGGGGTCGGCGTGTGGGGTAGGGGAGCGCGGGGTCGGCGTNTTTTTTAAAAGGGTCCCCCTTCTCAGGTTTCATTGGAACCTCCGTGGACCCCCTGAGGCGGGGGGGGGGGGGCTGTCGGGAATAAAGCAGAGAGGTGGACTGTTTCATGGACATTAAGCTCAATTCCTCCTGACATGTGACAGAGAAATAAACTACTGAGGTCAGACACAGTGGAGCGTAAACATCAGCCCGACCCAGAGCATAAAACGCCAGGAACTGTATAGATTGTGCTGCTGCTGTATTGCTAGGTGTGCGCCGTCTGCATGGCAACCTCTATAAACAGTATTTGCATAAAAAATATAGAGCCAGTAAATTCTTGCCTTTAATCCTCTTAACGGGAGTCCGAGCATTCTTTCCCACACTCTGCCACATTCCTTTTCTCCATACCTCCATTCACCGCTAATTTTCCTCCCATCTTCTTGTCTAGGACTCCGCCTACATTCGGTACTTAGATGGTGGGGCCTCCCCTCAGGCATTCCAGTTCTTCCTGCCGGTCGGCGCCGGGGGCGGGTTCCACCTGCCATCCTCCGTGTTCATTGGCCAGCCCAAGGAGACGAGCGCGTCCCCCGAGCTCTCTGCGGATGAGCAGCTTGCCTGCCGCTGGACGAAGGTGAGGAACGAGGAAGCGTCATAAAACGCACAAAGTCCAGAGTGACGTTCAGCTCTTGGAAAGGGGTGGGGGCTCTTACGAGGACTCAGGTTTTCAAAAAAACTCGGTAGTTTTTAACTGCAAACATGCAGGGTTTCTGCAGTTCCTGTTTAGATAGCCTTATGACCCCCCCCCTCCTCCCCCCATAGTGCCACCTGCTCTTCGACTCCCTTCAGGACCTGGTGGACCATGTCAATGATTTCCACGTCAAGCCTGAAAAGAATTCTGGGTACTGCTGCCACTGGGAAGGCTGTGCCCGGAAAGGGCGGGGCTTCAATGCCAGGTGTGTGTGTGTATGTCTGCTCTCCCTCGCATCTGCATGCCTCCACATCCGTGTGCGCCAATGTTTGCCTTTTGAGCATTTCGCTCTCGGAATAGGGAGACTTGGGTGTGTCCGTCAGCCTTAGGTGAGGATTTGTGTGTGTGTGTGTGTGTCTGTGGATTAGGTTTATTAACTCGTGGGAACCGAATGTAAACATTGTGGGGGCCATTTTTCAGGTCCCCACAAAGATCTGTGAATGCAGTCAAAACAGTAAAAATGCCAAAATTCTCGTATTTTGCTTGTGGTTTGTTATTTATGGTGAAGGTTAGGGTGGGGTTAGGGGTTAAGGTCGTCGTGTTGGGATTAGTGTTTTCCCCATAGAAATGAATGGAGAGTCCCACATAGATATAATTACAAACCTGTGGGTATGTGCATATACCTTACTGATCACATACACCGATCTAATGCTTGTTAGTGTACGCTGTAAGTGTGAGTACATTATGCACTATCTGGGTCACGGGTGTGTCTGCAAGTCCAGTGTTTCTCAAACTGGTCTTCAGGGACCCCCAGACTGTCCATGACTGGAGGAGCAGATTGACAAATACTGTGCTAGACATATATGAAGTGGGGAATGTCCCAGTATGTGACCCCACCCCCATTTGCCCAGGTACAAGATGCTGATCCACATCCGCACCCACACCAACGAGAAGCCCCACCGCTGCCCCACCTGCAACAAGAGCTTCTCCCGTCTAGAGAACCTCAAGATCCACAACCGCTCCCACACAGGTGAAGAAGAGCTTCGTGCACACATATCTGTACGCCCACTCACACACTGAGCCTAACCCTCCACCCTCTGCCTTGGCTCCCTGTCCGCCCCCCCAGGAGAGAAGCCCTACATTTGCCCGTATGAGGGCTGCGACAAGCGCTACTCCAACTCGAGTGACCGCTTCAAGCACACGCGCACGCACTACGTGGATAAGCCCTACTACTGCAAGATGGCCGGCTGCCTGAAGCGCTACACGGACCCCAGTTCCCTGCGTAAGCACATCAAAGCCCACGGGCACTTTGTGGCCCCGGAGCCAGTCCCACGTGGCAGTGTGGGGGCTCTGCTCAAGGGGGCGGAGCTGCCCTATGTGGGCGGGGCCCACATCGTCATCCCAGGCGCTGGTGCTGCCCTCCTGCCTGGTCTAGGTGGCTCACTGCCATTTTCTGCTCTCGGGTCCCAGGGGATGGACCCAAGCTCGCTGCCCCCCTCCCGCTCTGGGCTAGCCAGGGCCCCCATTTTCTCCATCAATGGTGGGTCCCTGGGCTTGGGCAAGTCACCCCTCCTGTCTCCGGCCTTCTCTGCTCTGGGCCTTCCCATAGGGGCGGAGCTAGGCTTGAGGGGGAGGGGCCACATACGAGCTAGGTGGGGCAGTGTCAGAGGAGAGAGGAGCGAGGAGGAGGAGGAGGAGGATGCCGAAGGGTCTGAGGATCTTCCGGGGGCTGTGCTTAACCTCTCCACTGGGGGCAGCCATGATCCCCTGTCTTGGGTGGTTATCCCACCAGGCACGGTGAAGCTCAAACCGACCGTGGTTAACTGACCCAGAGTACTGGGGGAGAGTGGGGCCAGGCAGTGGGGTGGGGCCAATGGGGGCAGGATCATTTAGGGAACATGGCATGAGGTTCGAAGCAGAACCACACAGTTTTCGAGAAAAAAACAGTCCAATCATTCCTGAACTGACCAAAGACAAGAGCAGTGGACCAGCTCATCTGGGGTGAGCACACATACCTCTACTCCCATCAGGTGTGGGAATCCACCAGTAATACCAGTAGGGGACCTGGGGCTGTGTATCAGCAATGGACTGCAGCGAGCCATAGTGCTATAGGCAGAACTGCTGGTTACCGTCAGTCTGATTTCCGCTCCACACACGCACACACACACACACACACACACACACACAGGTTTGTATTCATATCTTTGTGGGGACTCTCCATTCATTTCTGGGGGCCTAACCCTAACCCTAACCCTAATCCCAAGAATGACAACCTTAACCCCTACCCAGCTCTAACCTTAACCATAAATAACCAAACAAAACACAAGGCTTGTGGCATTTTTAATTTGCTCATTACATTCAAAGATTTTTTTTTATAAAAATGGGTTTCTGAAAAAATGTCTCCACAAGGTCAAAGTAACAGGTTTCATCACATAATAATAGATACTTTATTGATCCCTGTGGGGGAATTCTCTTTACGTCTCCCCCAGCTTGATCTCTGTAGGTGAGAGAAAGCTGGCAGTGAAGGGCAGCCCCCTGCTGCAGTGCCCAGGGAGCTGGGGGTTAAGGGCCTTTGCCCAAGGACCCGCAGACATGCTGAGGCTGGGTTTGAACCGGTGACCTTCTGATCACAGCCACAGAGGCTTAGCTCACTGAGACACACATTGCCCCCATGTAATACATACGTTATCGTTATCTTTCTGTCTCTCTCTCTCACACACACACACACACACACACACACACACACACACACACACACACACACACACACACACACACACACACACACACATATACCTGTTACCTACCAAATGACTGATGTGAAGTTAAGAAAAAAATTGGCCACTTGAGCACAAACTATGGCAGTGATACAGTGGTCTGTCTAGATTTTTTTGTTTTACATTTTCTCTCCAGCAGTTCTGGAATCATCAGTGTGATGGTTCAAATCCTCGTTTGCTGGATGTAACTGGGGAGTCAAAGATCTGTCTTGCTGTGGGGGTGTCCTGCCTTGTTCTTTTTCAAGTGTGGGTTACAGACATCAGTAAAGTTAAAAGACAAGCCCAGGCTTTCTTGGCAGGTGGGGCAGAAAAGCATCCACCTTGACCAGGCAGCAGGGCGGCGAAATTGAGCATGGATCAACACTGATCTGACGACATGTCTCAAACCCACAGGCAGAAAAGGGCAGAAACAGGGACACTCCCATAATTCTTTTAGTTTTCACAACAGTCCCCACCACCAATAACAGTTGCCCCATTATAAAAAAAAGACTCCTTAATGAGATGAGCAGATCTGTTTTGTAATACAGGCTACATCTGCTGGCCAGCGGTTTTGACAGGGGGTTGTTAAAGAGCATGTGCAGGCCAAGTCTGACATTCAACAGTTTTAACTGTCATTATGTATTGATTTACATTTGAAGCCATCTGTCGCCCCCTGCTGGACTCATGATGCATTGCACCCTGCCCACCTGTATGGACCAAGCCTAGAACATTAACAAATGTTTACTGGGATATTCTAGTTCATTTTAACGCGAAATGTAGTTCTGTGGATGTAAAAGAGTCTTATTATGAACCAGGAACGGGTGCTTAAAAAAGATCAACTAGAAGCCCTGCTGCTGTATCTGATGTGTTTTAGTTACTTATTCAGCTGTATAACTTTGATAAATGTAACAGAAAAACGACACGCTAAATGACAGAACTCACTTACACTAGTAATAGTGAGTAAAATATAACGACGACAACATGTTGTGGCAAAGCATCACTGACCAGTTCTTTGAAAGGCTGGTTTTGTGTCATAGCATCTAGCGTAGCATAGTGGGTGTTTCACCTGTCGAATCCAGCAGGGGGTGCAAGTGGGTTGGTAAGCCCTGATCCCAGACTCACGCCAGCACCGATGTAAAATACTACATTACGTGCAAGTGACATGGGGTGAGAAACTCCAATCACCCAGGACATTCCCGCGCACGTGCTCCTCAGTCTGATCGACCGTGTTGTGATTGTCGAGAACGGTAATAATAATCGTTGTTATTCATTTCCTAGTTAGACGAGACATTGCTTCGTTTTCTTTGTTTTGCTCGTTTGTGATGGCTGCTCTGCTTTGGACCTGCCCCTTGGAGAGAGGCGGGCGTGGGGGGCTCTCTGCCCGGGGCGGGTCCACATCGACACGGACCCGACGCGGGCTCCACACCTTTCAATACGAAATAAGCTGTTTAGACGTACACATTAACCCTTATGACATTTTGAGGGAACCTCAAAGCACTTTGCGTGGATGTAGAGCGAACGGGCCCACGATCTGTTGGACCCAAGCAACAGGGCCAACAGAGAATTGAAAAAAATCCATAAATAGACCATCCATACACTAAATATTTGTGGACATAAAACTGAGGGCCATTTACAAAGAAAACATTGTATATGAAACATACACCTAAATTCCCTAGTGTATATAAAACACTCCCCAGTCTTTGATAAAGCTATAGTGTATAATAATGTAACTGCGACCTGGTAAAATGGCGTGTGGCTCCCAGCCATGCATTTAGCTATTGTGAGGTACTTTCAGATTATGCTGAACTGCTTGTATTTCCATGCTGTAGGATACTGTCAGATCATAGTGCCCTCTTCCTTGCCCAAGATGAAATCGTTTGCTTCTTGCAGGGGATGTCACGGTACAACGATTACAACATCAGCCAGAGGAATAATTCAGGCATCCTCCCCACCAACCCTGAATATGAGTATAAAAATCTGGCTATTAAAAGGGTTTCCAGAGTCGCTGGGGAGGGATGTCAGCTAGAATGGGGTATCAGTGCGCAAAGGGTTATTGTTTGACGACGGCCAAACAAGGCCAGTATCTTGATTTTTTTTTGCACATTAAAATATTTTAATATCAGTATTTTAAATGGTTCTAAGTGCCTTCTATTATAAGTGAAAAAAAAACAGACGGACTACGGTGTATGAAATGACTATATAAATATATAAATATATGTATATTTTCCCAGCTCCACGTTCTGAGGCAGGATGTGTAGAAGTGTTGAGTCTCCAGTTGGTACCATATAGCTCTGTGATCCTGTTTTAGGGGACGTATATGACCTTGACGATGGTGTGTGACGATGATGATGATGTCAGTAAAAAAATGAATAAAGATGAATTTGATACTTTGTTTTTGTGCATTTATTATAGTCTTAACGGTGACACAATATATTATGTAGTGACTCTGTACCATGTACTGGCAGTTATATAGTGTTCATTATATAGAAGTTACAGAGCAGACTGTGACTATTATATAAGAACATAAGAAATTTACAAATGAGAGGAGGCCATTGGGGTGATCAAGCTCAACAAATAGCTCAAAGTTGCTAAAATCTTATTTAGCTCTAATTTAAAGGAACCCAGGGTTTTAGCTTGCCCTACAGTAACAGGAAGACTATTCCATACTCTACACGCCGTGTAAAGAAGCGCTTTCTCAAATCCATTTTAAAATGTTGTCCCTCTTATTTCCACTTATGGCCACAAGTTCTAGTATTTAAACTAATATTGAAGTAGCTATTTGGCTGAACAGCATCCAGACCCGTTAGAATCTTATACACCTGGATCATGTCCCCCCTTAATCTCCTTTGCTCGAGGCTGAACAGATTCAGCTCAGCTAACCTCTCCTCATAAGACATTCCTCTAAGACCAGGAATCATTCTTGTAGCCCTACGTTGAACCTTTTCCAAGGCAGCAATGTCCTTCTTAAGGTATGGTGACCAAACCTGCACACAATATTCTAGGTGGGGTCTTACCAAGGAATTGCATAATCTTAGCATTACCTCCCTTGACTTAAACTCCACACACCTGGAGATATAACCCAACATTCTATTGGCCTTTTTAATTGCTTCCCCACACTGGTGAGAGTGGGACATGGAAGCATCAACATACACCGAGGTCCTTCGCATAATCAGCTTCTTTTATTTCAGAGGGATCCATGAAATAACTATACTTTATATTTCCGCTCCCTGCATGGATTACCTTACATTTATCTACGTTAAATTACATCTGCTAGGTATCAGCCCAGTTGCTAATTTAATCAAGATCCCATTGTAGTCTCTGTGCTAGTTCAGTATCTGCTACACCACCCACCTTAGTGTCGTCTGCAAGTTTAACCAGTTTACTGTATGTATTGTTGTCAATATCATTAATGTAAATTAGGAACAATAGTGGTCCTAAAATTGAACCCTGCAGTACCCCATTATGAACGCAGGCCCACTGTGACATTGTGCCTCTAATAACTACTCGCTGCTTCCTGTCAGTTAACCAGTTTTCGATCCAAGCTGCCACAGTTCCTAAAATCCCTGCAGCTTTGAGCTTTAGCAAGAGCCGTTTGTGGGGGACAACATCAAAGGCCTTCTGGAAATCTAAGTAGATCACATCATAGGCCTTTTTGTGATCAATTTCTCTTGTAGCTTCCTCAAAGAACTCATGTAGATTAGTTAAACAGGACCTACCTCTCCTAAATCCATGTTGGCTATCCCTCAGAATGTTATTTGAATCCAGGTAATCTACCATTTTCACTTGGATTATAGTTTCCATTACCTTTCCAGTTATGCAAGTTAAACTGATTGGCCTATAGTTTGCTGGATTACTTCTATCCCCTTTTTTGAATATGGGCATTATATTAGCGTGCTTCCAATCAGAAGGTACCACACCAGCAGATAAGGATTTCTGAAATTTTAAAGTTAAATTAAATAATATACCTCATCTCTTTCAAAACTATAGGTAGGATGCCATCAGGGCCCTGTGATTTATTTATTTTGTGCTACAAAGCCTAGCTAAGATCATCAGCCTCAGTTATACATATATTGGTTACAGACGATGCCGGATTAATAATAAGAGTTGGTAAGTTACTCGTGTCCTCTACAGTGAACACCTGTATAAAATAATCATTAAACTCATTTACTATATCAATTTCATTTTCAATTATAAGGGCCTTACTATCCTGCAGATTAGTAATTTCAGCTTTTAGAGCTCTTTTGGAGTTAAAGTATTGGAAGAAACTTTTAATGTCATCATTAGCCTCCAGTGCAATCTTCCTTTCTACATCCCTCTTATCGAGTCTAATGTTATTTTTTTTAACTCTACCTGTAGACTTAGATACTCCTGCTTAATTTTGAAATCATTAGTTATTTTCCA